CACCATTTTTAATCAATTCACTACTGCACAGTTCTACAATCCAGTTACCTATTCAAGGCTCCACCTTTGAATTACCAGAATAGGATTTCCCACCCTCTTAACAGTGACAGTGGGGGGCTAAGTTTCTAATACATAAAACTTGGGCACAATTTAAGCTTCAATGAATTTGGGGGGGGACATAATTCAATTCACTACAGCCTGTTTCCTGTAGGTTTTGGGGAGTTCAACAGCCTTTCACTTTGTCCTCTGTCCCTTGCAAGCTGACAGTGCTTCTGGTGTAGAATTCTCATGGACTTTGTGGATGTCCTGTGTATGTCATGGGAATTCACTCTATTAGACAGGAGGCTCCTCCACAAACAGAATAATCTCATCTCTATTTCTGCCTTCTGCTGAGATGGTTGTGAGGATCCATGAATCACCTAAAGAGCCCTCTTATGAATCAATATTTTGACCTTTTGATCCTTCAGAAGCAATAGAGAAGGGTGGTCCACACCCTTGGCTTTTTCCCCAGAGCATACTCTTTGACAGGGAATCCCCTAATTTTAGCATCTTTTGCACTGTGGATAGGCTGAGAGTTCCCAAATCAAGTCTTGGTTCCTTTTTGCTTAACAGTTATTCCCTCAATTTATCTCTTTGCTCTTGCATTTTACTATAAGTATCAAGAAGAAACCAGAAATATCCAAGTTCATTGTTTATAGATTCTGCTTTCCATATAACTAGGACACAATTTAAGTTTCTGCCACTATATAAAGATCCCTTTTCTTTCAGTTTCCAATAACATTTTTCCCAGTTCTTTCTAAGCCCTCATCAGCAGCACTTTTAATGTTTGTGTTTCTATTAACTGTCCATAATGATTTAAGTATTCTCTAAGAATAGGTTTTCTCCGTGTATTTTCTTCTGAGTCTTCACTAACAGTTTAACATCCATATTTCTACTAACAATCTGTACAAGACATTCTAGGCTTTTTCTGTCATCCTCAAACCTCTTTCAGCCTCTGCCCATTGCCTAATTCCAGAGCCACTTCCATATTTTTATTTTTACTTCATTAATTTTTTAGAAAAAGACCAGTAAGGAGATCTTAACCCTTGCTTGGTGTTGTCAGCACCATGCTCAGCCAGCGAGCTAACCGGCCATCCCTATATAGGATCTGAACCGTGGCCTTGGTGTTGTCAGCACCGCCATGAGCGAGCCACGGGCCAGCCCTACGTATTTTTAGATCTTTGTTAGAGCAGCACCCTACTTCCAGGTACCAAATCAAGTACTAGTTTCATATTACTCCTGTAACAAATTACCACAAGTGGCTTTAAAAAATACAAGTTTAGGGCCGGCCCCGTGGCTCACTCGGGAGAGTGCGGTGCTGACAACACCAAGGCCACGGGTTCGGATCCTATATAGGGATGGCCGGTTTGCTCACTGGGTGAGCGTGGTGCTGACAACACCAAGTCAAGGGTTAAGATCCCCTTACCGGTAATCTTTAAAAAAAAAAAAAAAAAAAAAAAAAAGTTTATTATAGTTCTGGAAGTCAGAAGTTTGGAATGGGTGTTTGGGGACTAAAAGTGTCAGCAGGGCTGCTTTTCTTCTGGAAGCTCTAGGAGAGAACCTTTTCCTTGCCTTTTCCAGCTGCTAGAGGCTTTCAGCATTCCTTGGTTCATGTCCATATCACTCCAACCTCAACTTCCATGGTCACGTGATTCTTTGATTCTCACCCTTGGCCTCCCTCTTATACGGATGCTTCGATTACATTAGGACCATCAGATAATTTGGGATAATCTTCCTATCTCAAGATCGTTAATTGTACCTGTGAAGTCCTTTTTGCCATGTGAGGTAACATATTCACATGTTTTGGGGAGTAGGATCTAGACATCTTTGGGGGTCATTTTCTGCTTGCCATAGCTCACTGATGAATCCTTGTTTAGTGGAGAATGGTATATGAGGCCCTTAGATGGGTTTTAGGGGATACTTATATATGTTAGGCAGAAGTACTGTCTCTTGCTTGTTGGATCAGACAGAGTTGGAAAAGATCTTTTTAATTTAGGTGTTTTTTTTCCCATTCAATTTCATGTATTACCTTGCAACATATGGACTGATAAAACAATTTTTCACCTGTATTGACAGTTGCTATGCAGGAATGTGGTTTTAGTGTTGCCTCAAATCAGGATTTTTATGAGATTTTCTAGTTTTTATAACAATGTAAGTCAAAGCAGCCCTGTAGAGCAAATTTAGCCTGCTGGCCACCTGCTGGCCAGTAGTTTACTTCTGCTGTCTTATGGATTAGTGATGTGATCTAATGACAGATCACAGTTGGGGATATATAGATATATGAAAATATAGAGATACATATTTTGATACTGAATACAGAAAGTCTTAAGACTACAAAAATACTGTTCATACTTAGGGTGACTAGGAAGCACTGTAAATTGGAGCTGTTAGCACAGAAAGAAGGCAGGGCGGTGCCATTGTTTTTGCTCCTTCACTATTTCAGCCATCAAATCTATGTGCCAGGCCTATGACAGAGCTGGGGGTTGAGGTAGAGAAAAAAGCAACACAATTCAAATAGGGAGAGGCCTGTAAATCCTAAGTGTGGTGATGTAAAGGCTAATAGAGCTGTTACAATATCCTGCAAGGTCTTGAGCCTGGCCCAGGTGACTGTATGTAGGGGTTAAATAAGGCCTCATAATAAATCACACTGCAGAGCAAGGGGCTTTTGCTTTTGTAATAGTTGTCGAGAACTCAGATCATAACATATTATCTAAGATCTATTATGTTTGATCTCAGAACATAAACCTGTTCTGAGCAGTTTTTATGCAGTGTCTCCTTTAAAATAACAGCTCTGTAAGGCAAATGTCCCAATATCAATGAGGAAAAATCTGAACAGAAAGATAAATACTATTATGTCAATGATAAGTAGGCATCAACCATGTAGATTAGTCAGGTGGCAGGGAAATGAAGGGTGCTGCAGGCAAAAGGGAACAGTATGGACAAAGGCAGGATCTATGTAAGCAGAGAAAAGAAGGGGAAGGCCTTTTGGCGGACTGCCAAGTTACAATGGCATAGTCAGGATGCTCTCACTTTCAAGTACCAATAAGTCTGATTCATACTGGTTTCAAAACTAAGAGGAATTTATTGATTTCATATAACTGAAGATTGAGTAGTGTGCTTGAGGCAAGGCCCCATTCATCAATTCATTGATGTCACCAAAATGCTAAGTCTTGTCTTCTGAGTCCTAAAGTGGCTGACAGCAACTTCTGGTATTACATCTGGTCTGACATCCAGCAGGATATATTTCATTAGCACTGCAAGCAACTCCTAAGACTCTTTCTGACTAGATCAGCATGAGTCTTAAGTCTACCAGTCACTGTGCCTAGGGAGATGGAGTGAATCTATAAGCTTAACCTAGCTTTCTTGTTCCACTCAAAGCAGGGGATGCACTTCCCTTCACCAGAACCAGAGGGCTCCCCAAGTGGAATTCAGATAAGTGGGTAGGGAAATGGATGCTAGAGGGACAATCAACATAGGTAAAGCCTCCTGAATCCTGTTACATCCCATCTCTGTATCCTAGAGTCAGGGATTTCATGGGTCAAGATATGGTAGTGTGAGAAAGACATTTGAGTGAGGATTGACCTTGCTTGTTTGGGACCAGATATTATTTAAGGTAAAGGTTAAGCTGCAGTTAACAAAAGACTCATATATAGCAGCTTAAACACAATGTACACTTATTTCTCTCATTTTACAGAGTTCATCGTACCAGAGCTGGGAGGGGAACACAATACTAAAGTTTATGAGTTCAAGTTGCCTGTTCCCATGGTCACCTCTCAGAGAAAAGAGAAAGGCAAGGGATGTCTGTTCTTTTCATGGGCTTCGCCTAAGTGGTACACATCCCTTTGACTCAGTTTCCACTGGCCATTATTTAATCACCCACACCTAGCTCCTAGAGAGTTGGGAAGATGCAGTCTGTAGTGGGATGGCCACATTCCCAAATTAAAACTTTTAAGGAGAGAAAACTTGCTGTCTTTGACATGCAGGCATGAGGTCCTGGTGACTGCTAAGTACTCATCCTGTCTGATCCTGAGCCACACGTCTGCCTCTCTTGATGGCTAGTGCCTCCTGGCTGCAGCTAGGGCGCCTATTACTGGTTAGGCCCTCCGACGGGAGTCAGCAAGCCTGAAAGCAGAAAGCTGCTGCAGGTGGCCGGATTCGCCTTAGGCCGTCACCTGAACACAGCCCCAATCGCCGCACCGCGACTCCAAGCGGGAGGAGCCGTCATATCCGCTCCCGTCAGCGGCCTCTCCTTCCCGTCCTCCCAGTCCTCACCCAGGGTCTTCTGGTCCCCGCGATGTACCCTCACACGCTGACCGCATCTCTCTGTGGAGTGACACACATCGCCTTTCTAACCCCCTCCTACCCCAAGTAAGTGACTTTTTCTTCGCTGGATGTTAAAACTCTTATTTTAAAAAGGGCGACCTCCTGCACTGGCCCAGCTCTGAGAGGCCCCGCGATTCCAGCAGACAAGCTCAGAAAAAGTATAGGTCGCAAGCAAACGACAGGGAAACGTGACCCCTGGAGAGCTCCTCGTTCTGAGCCCGGGAGGCCTCTGGGCGCTGGCGGCCCTCGGCGGTCGTGAGGACTCGGTCATCCGAAGAGATGAGGACGGATGACACAAAAGACGTCCGCTCTCACAGAAGAACCTAGAAAGGGCAGTGACCCCACACAGCCTTTTCACAGCCGCGCTAAGGAGTCGCCCGCTTCCACGGTATCTGTGGTAATTAACGCGAGAACTTTCCTAGTTATCGCGAGAACTAAGCCCGCCGCCCAGGCTCCCCCCGAAAAACGCCAGTCCCACTACGCAAGTGCAATCTTGGCCCCCCGCCCCCCCGTCACATCTTACTTACAGGTGCGTGGGAAGGCCGCCCACATGAGCGGGCCTGCACTTCGCCCGCTTCTCCATCCAATTCTCACCTTTCCTTCCGTTCTTTCACTTCCGGCCCTTAACTTCCGGTCCTCTCGTTGATCCTTCCGACAAAAAGATCGGTCTCGGGGCGCGGTTCGAATCTTCAGTTCCCGCCGAGGGTCGGCCTCGCCTGAGCCTGAGAAGTTCCCTGGACCAGGGCCGCGCGGCCCCAGGGCAGTGCCCTCAGCCACACCATGGTGAGTAGGGTGGGTGGGTGAGGCGGGGGACGGGCCGTCAGGGCTCCCAGCCCCTTCTGGGGCGCTCGTGGCGTCGAGGCGCAGCCGTGCACCACCGCGGGCTTTCGGCTCCGTGGATGTGATGGGGGAATTCTCTTCCTGCTCGCTTAGCTGCCAGAAACTGGAAGAGGAAACTGGAAACTCGGGAGCCGCGTTACCATCTCGGACAGTGTTTTAGTTCCGATGAAGCTCTGGACGTTATCGATAGGGAAATCGAGGCCCTGAGAGGCCCAAGGACAGGCTCCGAGTCACGGTGCATCGCGTGGGCCAGTTGTTTGTCTGGCCCGTAGGGGCCAGGTCCCCAAGTCCCTGGGGACAGGAAAAGCGGTTGTGATTGTATGTTCCGGAGAGTATTTGATTTATGTCTGTTCTCGGTCTCCCCCACAAGATGCAGTCTTAACGAGAGTAGGGTCTTTTCACTGTTGCTTCCTTAATGTCTAACGAGCATCTGCACGTTGTAGGTGTTGAGTAACTGCTGAATGAATGAATGGCGTAGACAGGAAGCGTTGAATGACAGTGTGAGCTACGTAGTCTGGCATGGTTTGTTGGCTTCTTCATTTGCTCAGGAAGCGTTTACGACGTGTAAATATGAGAATGCACCTAGTGCTGGTATAAAGAAGATGCTTGGTTACTGTGATATTGGCCACTATAATATTTTCATCAAGTGAAGCCCATAAGAAGCACACGACGCGATAGTAAGGTTATCGAAGATGTATTGGAGCCAGTGTAGATTGATGAGCACAAGATCCCATGGAGAGAAACCGTGGACTAGAAGCAGCCCTTTTGAGGAAGAATATGTACCAAATTACTACTTTGTTTATGTAAACACAGCATTTGCCAAGTTTGTTTCTGTGTTAGTTGACAGGGAGGGTCTGAAAGATTTAAATTCAGCTCACTTTTGCTAAGCGTCCATAAACTGCATGCCGGATGCTGTCATGTGTGTATTTCATTTCATTAAATCATCGTGACATCTCTGTGAGACAGGAGGTATGCTCCCTGTTGTAAAGATGGGGAAATGGAGGTTTAGAGAGACAGCTACTCAAGAATGGTAAGTGCAAGAGTAAAATTCAAGTCCCTGACTCAGCAAGTATTCTTTCTAACTACACTATAACTCAGAAAATGTGTTTTCTGCCTGACATTATGTTTCAAGGATCACTAACTTGACACTAGTGTGACTGTACTAATGTAAAACTCACTTTGAAAAAACCAGTCTTGAGACTTATCTTCCCCAAATTCCACTGGCAGGGAACAGACAATTGTGATAGTGGGTGGTAAGTGCCATGGTAACTATAAAACCCAGACAGAGGGCACCAGCCTAGTTGGGAAGAAGGGGTCACAGAAGAACTTTTGGGGGTGGTTCTGACACAAGTAAACTTTTTTTTTTTTTTTTTTCCTGCAAAGATGACCAGTAAGGGGATCTTAACCCTTGACTTGGTGTTGTCAGCACCACGCTCACCCAATGAGCTAACCAGTCATCCCTATATGGGATCCGAACCCATGGCCTTAGTGTTATCAGCACCACACTCTCCCGAGTGAGCAATGGTCCGGCCAGACAAAAGTAAAATTTGAAGGAGAAATGAGAGTTAACCAGATACAAGGTGGTAGGAACAGTGGAGGAGTAAAGATTTTAAGTAGAGGGAGGAGCAGTGGAAGTCACAGGATTTGGACATCTTTTGATTTTGTTGTTGTTGTTGTGATTGTTACTGTTGTTCATGTAGTAGTTCAAGCAGTCTGCTTGTGACTGGGTCCTTGTAAAACTTTTCACTACGAAGTAAACGGAAATGAAAAGATGTTTTAAACAAGGCCATTTTCCTTTCCTTCTCTCTCCTTCCAGGCCCGAAATGCAGAAAAGGCCATGTAAGTATCCACTCATTTTGAGGTATAAATTTGTTGTAACTTAATAACCACCATTGAACTTTTTTTTTTTTGTATTTGATCTTTTTGAGCCCTTTGGGAAGCTATTTCTTTCTCTATATGTGTTAAAATAGCATTCCCATATTTGCCCATTTGTTTTTCCCATTACCGTTGTCTGACAGCTTCCAGAACTTAAAGTGGAAGGTGGAGGAGTTGTGAGAATGACAGCTAGGGCACCCCTTATTAGTGTTTTAACATCTGGATGTGTTACTCATCACAATGGTCTTGTAAGTAGATTTCCCCACACTTCTTACACACAGTGTAAGTAAAATACACTTCTTTATACCAGGTGTTCTTCTTTATACCAGGGTGTTCAGGAACACAAATGACCTTATGAGCCCTACTCCTTGGAACGTGGAAACCCTAAACTACTTTGTGGTTTCCTAATTGCAGTATATATTTGAATGACATTAAATATGGTCATGAACAGATCTACCACATCTAGGAACTTGGGTGATAAGAAATCTGTGAGCAGGATCTAATGGAGTCTTTTGTATCCCTGGTAGGACGGCCTTAGCAAGATTTCGCCAAGCTCAGCTGGAAGAGGGAAAAGTGAAGGTTGGTGTAAATCTTCCTCATGAATTGTGACATTTGAAGAACAAATGCAGAAAACTTCCTTCTGGACATACTTCAAGCTTAAAGTCTTCCTGTTTCTTCTTTGTGCTTGTTGACACTTAAGATTCTATACACTTGAATTCCAGGTGTACCTCCCTATTGTTGGGGCAGTGTGATGATCTGGCTGTTTTCCATTTCTTCTGTAATATGATGACTGGGTCTCCTTATTATTCCAGCACTGTCTAATTCAGTATTGTCCTAGCTGTGTCTAATATTGAAGAACAGAAAGTGTAGTGTAACGTGGAGAACAGTTATAAGCTGAAACCAGTAAATGATTTCAACTCATGGAGATTCAGCAAGATTAGGGATAATATATATCATTCTTTGAATATTTTTCTTTCTTTTGTTTTTAAAAAATTGTATACATACATATGTTAGTGTATATATGTACACACATATGTGTATATTCACACACATATTTATGAATGTTTGTTCTAAACACTGATAGCCATCATTTCTTAAGGTCATGTAAATAGTCCATGAAATGGGGTTATAACCTAGTTTATTTAGCCACCTCTCTTACTGGACATTGGAGTTATTTTCAGTGTTTCACTTGTACTAGATACAGTGCATTGAATGTTTTTGTCTCTATAGCTGTTTCCTAAGGAGACACTGTAGAGGAGGTTTAAGGCTTAATAAAGATCCACTGGCTCTGAAACTTCAATGTATTTAGATTATTAGGCATTTTAGACTTCAGGCCTGAAAAAGTAGGGATCGTTGCAAGAAGCTTGTAACTAGTACAGTGGCAACATGTGTTACTTTGCTTCTCCATAGGAACGAAGACCCTTCCTTGCCTCAGAATGTACCGAGCTGCCCAAAGCTGAGAAGTGGAGACGACAGGTATGTTCTTGTTGAATTTGATCTCAGTAGAAATAACAAGTGTCTGATTACTTCTTATTTTCTAAATGACTCTTAAACCAGAATTCTAAGTATTTTTAATTACTAATTTTGAATTATAGTTTTCCTGTGCTTTCAGACATATTCAAAAGTCATGAAAATGTACTACCTTTTATTTTTTTCACAGATCATTGGAGAGATTTCTAAAAAAGTGGCTCAGATTCAGAATGGTAAGCAAACTTGTCCCTTTAAAGTGTTTGATTTTCAAATCCACACTTAGATTTGAAGACTTCAGCACTCCTCTTACAATAATCGATAGAACAAGTAGATAGAAAATCAGTAAGGACTTAGGAGACCTGAACAATACTTCTCAATCAATTTGACCTAGTTGACATTTATAGAATATTCCATCTAACAAAAAAGAATACATTTCTTTTTTTAAGAGCACATGGAACATTCACCAATATAAAACATATGTTAGGCTCTAAAACAAACATTAGCAGATTTATTTACTTATTTTTGGTTTTAATTTTTATTGAATCATACTTGATTATCCATATTTTGGGGGTTCAACATTGACATATGTTGATCAAATCAATATTACTAGCATATATATTATTACAAATCATACTTATTCTTTATGCCCCTTGTCCAATCTCTCCCTATCCCCCTCTTCCTCCCCCCTCCCCTCTGTAATTACCCTAGATTTCTTCTCTCCTGAAAGAGTAATGGTTACTCTGTTGATCTGTTGCCTAGATGATCTGTCCAATGCTGAGAGGTGTGTTCAGTTCCCCCAATATTATTGTAGAGCTGATGCTTCTTATGTTACTCTGGAATGAGCTTTGTGGAGAGAGACATCCTCTTCTTTGGTCTCTGTTGGTCACTCCAGTGGCTGGTGGACCATCTGCACGCTGGTTGTGGCATCTAGCCAAAAGTGGCAGATGTAGTTATTGTGGAGGCTGTGGTGGGCCACCCACATGAAGGTGATGTTTTTTGGCATGCTCCTTACCTAGTTGGTGGTGGTGCTGGTGGTGTGCCTGGTTGTGGGTGGAGGGTCCAGTCTTCAGCTGCATGCCTCAGGATCCCGGGCGGGCCCCATGGCACTGGCGGTGTGCCTGGTTGTCCCCCCTTTCTGGATTGGTAGCCAGGGGACTTCTGGTCCTTCTAGGTGTTATAGATGTTCTTTGGTGAAATAAGACCTTTACTAGTTAATATCAAACTTTGCCTCTGGTTGTGGGTACTCTGTTTTTTCTTTCAGTTCTGTGTTGGATTATTTGTTGTTCCCACCACTTAAACTCTGCACTGGAACTAATTTGTTTGCTTACTTCTAAAATGGGGGAACTTCCTGTGGGGACTAGTAGTTGAGCTCTGTGGTTGAGCTAAATTGCTGCTTTGCTGTTGATTCCCTGGGGGAGGCTTTTTGTACAGCTCAGGTTTTAATGGTTGACTTTATAGGACTTCCGGGTTTAGTGAAATCCAATATACCTGGGTTGTGTAGAAACACTATTCTGGGCCTGAGTCTTTTCATCAAACTGCGCCCCATGCAATTCTATATTCCTGACCAGTCTCCTCTGAGTGGTCCTACGCTGATTGGGGGGCAGATCAGCTGTCCTTGCTGTGCCCCAGTGTTCTGGTGGGCCTGTCTCCCCCACTGCCTGTGCTGCAAACACTTCCCATGGGACGGGCTATATGCCGGTCCCTTGTGATGACTCACTGGCCTCTGAATGGCACCTTTTTTTCAGTTGTGGTGGCTCTTCGCTCCAGTGTGGGTCCATGGGAACCTTATTAGTGGTCTTGCTGTCCTGGGGGCCACCAACGCCTTCTTCTCGCCTGCCACCTCCATGCAACTTCATCAGAAGGGCACAGCTGTGGCTTTTGCCGGCTCCTGCTCCGTGCACTCAGCAGCTCCAGCCTAGACGTGGCTAGGGCTTGAAACGGTCAGAGAGGTTTTTTCTTTCTCTCATCTTGGCTTCTCTGGCCTTCATGCACTCTGTAGGTCTCTCCTCCTCTTCCTCTGAGCTCTAGTGGCCCCAGCTTGGCTGTCTTTGCTTTTTAATAGCTGTAAATTAGTTGATTTGTGGGAGAGAGTGACACTGGGAGCTGTTTATTCTGCCATCTTGACTGAAAGTCTCAGCAAATTTAAAGTAATTGAAATCATACAAAGTATGTTTTTCTGATTATAAGAACAGAAAAATATGTGAAAATTTCTAAATATTTGGAAATTAAACAGCACACTTGTAAATAACCTATGTGTTTAAGAGGAAACTGCAAGGAAATTAGAAAATATTTTGACTTGAATAAGAATGAAAATGTCAAAATTTAGAGGGTGAAAAAAAATTTGGGGATGTAGTGCTTAGATGAAAATTTATAGCATTGAAATAATAGAAAATAACAAAGGCTTCAAATCAGTGATCTAAACTTCCACCCTAAGAAACTAGGAGAAAAGAGCAAATTAAACCAACATCAAGCAGAAGGAAGGAAGTGATAAAGACAACATCAGAACTGAATGAAATAGGAAACAAGATGAGTAGAGAAAACAAGCCAAGAGCTGTTTTTTTATTTATTTTATTTTTTGTGGCTGGCTGGTACTGGGATCTGAACCTGTGGCCTTGGTGATATAAAGCTGCTTTCTAACCAACTGAGCTAACTGGCCAGCCCCTGAAATCTGGTTTTTTACAAAGATCAATAAAATTGATAAATTTCTAGTCAGACTGATTAAGAAAAAAAGAAGACACAAATTAAGAACATCAGGATCAAGTTGGGAACTTGATCACTACAGAGTCTACAGATGTAAAAAGAATAATAAGGGATATTACAAACAATTTTATTCTCATAAGTTCAACAACTTAACATGAAATAGGTCAATTTCTTAAAAGACACAAACTACCAGAGCTCACTTAAGAGAAGTAGTTCTTAGCTAGGGGCAATTTTCCTCTCCAGGTGACATTTGTCAGTGTCTGGAGAAATGTCTGATGGTTACAGTTGGGGGAATGATGCTACTGGCGTCTTGTGGGTGGAGGCCAGGGATACTGCTAAGCATCCTACAGTACATCTTACAAAGAGTTATCCTAACCGAAATGTCAGTAGTTCCACTGGTTAGAGACACTGTTCAAGAAGAAATAGATAACCTGCATAGTCCTATGTCTATTAAAAAGATTGAGTTCAGGGGCTGGCCTGTGGCTTACTTGGGAGAGTGTGGTGCTGATAACGCCAAGGCCAAGGGTTCGGATTCCTATATATAGGGATGGCCATTTAGCTCACTTTGGAGAGCATGGTGCTGACAACACCAAGTTAAGGGTTAAGATCCCTTTACCAGTCATCTTTTAAACAAACAAACAAACAAAAGATAGAGTTTATAGTTAAAAGCATTCCAACAAAGAAAACTCCAGACCTGGACAGCTTCACTGGTCAGTTCTACTAATTATTTAAGGAAGAAAGATTACCAGTGCCACAGTTTCTTCCAGAAAACTGAAGAGGAGGAAACACCTCCTAATTCATTTTATGAATTTTAGTATCAGCATTACCCTGCTTCTAAAATCAGAAAAAGACATTATATGAAAGAAACAACTACAGACCAAAATTCCTCATGAATATAGCTAAAAATATTCAACAAAATATTAGCAGATCAAATTCAGCAATATTTAAAAACAATAGTATGTCACAACCAAGTAGGACTTATCTTGGAATGCATGGCTGATTCAGCATTCAAAAATCAGTTAATACTTATGTAATTCACTGTGTCACTGTTCCAAAGCAGAAAAACTGTATGATCAACTTAGTAGATACAGAAAAAGTATTTGACAAAATTTAATGTTCATTCATAATAAAAACTCACAGCAAACTGGGAGTAAAAGGGAAGATTTTTGCCCTAATAAAGCTCATCTACCAAAAAACGTGCAGCCAGTGTCATACTAATGGTGAGTGACTGAATGCTTTCATCCTGATATCAAGAACAAGGCAAAGAGATCCATTCTCACCACTCTGTTTTGGGGCGATGGAACTTTCTATATCTTTTTCTTTTTTTATTTTATTTTTTTATAACTTTTTAGAAAAATTTTATTTTGTCGATATACAATGTGGTTGATTATTGTGTCCCATTACCGAAACCTCCCTCCCTCCTCCCTTTCCTCCCTCCCACCCAACAATGTCCTTTCTGTTTGCTTGTCGTATCAACTTCAAGGAACCGTAGTTGTTATGTCTGGTTCCAACTCTTGGCTATTGTAAAGAGTGCTGCGATGAACATTGGGGAACAGGTATACCTTCAACTTGATGATTTCCATTCCTCTGGGTTTATTCCCAGCAGTGGGATAGCTAGGTCATATAGCAGATCTACCTGCAATTGTTTGAGGAACCTCCATACCATTTTCCATAGAGGCTGCACCATTTTGCAGTCCCACCAACAATGGATGAGAGTTCCTTTTTCTCCGCAACCTTGCCAGCCCTTATCGTTCAGAGTCTTTTGGATTTTAGCCATCCTCACTGGGGTGAGATGGTATCTCAGTGTAGTTTTGATTTGCATTTCCCGGATGCTGAGTGATGTTGAGCATTTTTTTTATATGTCTGTTGGAATTTGTATATCTTCCTTAGAGAAATG